ATGTATTGTTATGCCATGAAACGTAGTTTATCACGGGCAAAGAAATTCGCGTTTTCGAGGAACACGCCTGTTGATTAAAAACCGATATTCTTTCTTTTTTATCGTCCGTTGCTTAACTGTTTCGCGCAAGTTCTGTTCGGAAACAATATCCAAGAAGTATAAAAAAAGAAAAGAGGCTTTTGTAATGAAAACTAAAGTTTGTTACGGTCCACGAGACGGAATTGTACGTAGCCTGGTCGACGTTACGGGATTGATTCTTCTTCTTGTTCTTCTTCTTCTTCTTCTTGTTCGTAAGGAAAGTTCCGGACTAACGTTGCAGGCTTCCCTTCGGGAGTTTTATTACGCCGGAGACGCGCTTATCCCAGCCACAGATTCGCGCCAACATATCCCTTACTGTCGATATGTCCAGAGTGGTGTAAGGAAAAAGAACGATGATAAAAAAAAAGAATAAGTAGAAATAACTGGAAAATGCGAAAGAAAAGGATCAGAAGCTCGATCTGCATCGAGAACACAGGTTCGTTTTTATTACCGTGAAAGGAAAGTACAATCGAAAGAACCTGCAAGATTTCGATCTCCTTCATCGAGATTATTCGAAAATGCCTACCAGTGACTTACCTTTTGCATTTAATACTTCCGTTTTATGGTCTTCGAGTAAAATACGTTCATAGCGGAATGACGGTCGACGAGTTAACGAGAAAGAAATTTTAGTACGAACTTACTTAAAGGGAAACGAAGATCATTACAGATAAATATATAATAAGTGCAGGATGGTCGAAGATAGACGAACGCTTTATTATTACGAGACTACGTTGCTGGTGTACAAGTAACTGCATTAAGGTGGTAGGAACTATCAGGGTGACGCTCTGTAGTTGCAGCATCACCGGGAAACTACCCCGAACAACTGTCTCGGTGTAACTGAACTCGAATGCATCACCGTCGTAGTTTCAACCCGGAGCTTCCGGTACTTACGTGGAACTTATCAGGTAACGGAAGTGTCGCTGACTCATAACCGTCGACTTATTACTTACACGGTGCATTGTCTTTAAACGGAAGGCAACGGTAATTTCACTCTCCTCCGGTTACCTACTAATCACCATCGTTACCTCTTTCCAAAGACACGATATTTATCGGTGGTAACGAGAGCCATCTCGATCAGTTCATGTTCACTCGATAACCATCGTTTCTCTTTCCCAATCATTCGTTCGCGTACCTCGCGTCAACGTCCCGATCGAACCGTTCACTTGGTCATAAATTACCAGAAAGCTAAATCGCTGTCTCTTACCACGAAAATGCTTCCGTGCTAACGAATAAGACCGCCGTTTAGAGACAACGTCAAACGCGTACAACGCAACAGTCGACAGAATTCTAGATCCATCAATTTGTATTAGGTTTAAAGCAAGGCTCTTTGTGAACGCTGTTTTAGTTATCGCGTATTTATTTACCCACGTTACGAGGTTTACGAAGTAAAGAAGAAGAGAGAAAAAATATAGAAGGTAGGTAAAAGGTGGTAGAATTACAAAGTAGTAAAGCAAAGGCTGGCGAACGACGATGCAGAGGCCGTAAGCGTAGCGAGGTGGTCTGCTCTTGTACAAACGCAACAGAGAATAATTCAAGTAGGTAGAAACTGGAAGGATAAGGGCGAGGGTTGCGTGGCGGTAGAAATTGCGGATGGCAGGGGGGTAAAGCTGCAGTACTCCGCTTAGACAAAGCCTAACGAAGCTTCTATTCAGCAACAGTAGGCACCGCGAGGCCCAACTTCACTTCTATTATACTTACTCGTCGGGACGAAGTGAATTCCATCCATCAACGGAATTCCAGGCTAAGCAGCTCTCGGCTGCCTGGCATCTCTATCTCTGGCACGAGAGGCATTCTCTCCTTTTTTGGGGTTGCATCCCCTCTTTGTCTTTACTTCGTCCCCCAATGTATTCGCCGCTCTGTTCTTTCCTCCCTTCTTCCTTCTTCCTTTTTATCTTTTTAACGCCGACGCTTATAGAAAATAAACCACCGACGATAACAAGTGCTGCCTAAAATATAACTTTGTACTCATCGACTTTTTCAAAGGAACGTTTTACCCGAAATACATTTTGTATAGTGGAAACGACCATCGACTTTTGAAAATGGAACCTCGAAAAGAGATATCTCTATGCTGGCACGTGCGGGAAATGCCGTCGCGTTATCGAATCTTATCGTTATCTTTAAGCTAATACAATATAAGTACTTTTATATTTGTACAGTACTTCTATATTATCGAATTGTGCTTCACTTTTTGTTTGATACGCGATCACCTAATATTTGTATTTTTGAATAGCGATCCTCTTTAAACACGTGTTTAAGTACGATTTATGTTAAACAAACGATTAAAGCGTCGATGATTGAAATTCACGTGATTCGCATAACGACTCGTGAATACGTTTTAAACTTTACACGCGTTTATAATGACGCGTACAGATGACGCAAAGGAGAACCCGCTACTGATTTATGAACGAATGCGAATCGTCACGGTCGATGTTCCGCACTCGAGTCTAAATTACTCGGGAAATTTTCTCGCAAGATACAGAGAATCGTTCCGAAGTCTATCCTATGAATACATTAAACTTTGTCTACAGATAACTGTTACATATGCATAGACTTTTACTAGGATCTGAGAACACGCGTAACACCAATTAGAACCTTAACCCGAATCCTTATCAAAGGTTGAAATTTCCCTTCCAATCGTTCGTAACGTTTTGTTTACGATCGAAAAAGCGCCGCTGACTAACGCTACGAACGTAATGTATTCTAATAGCTAAGGAAAAGAAATTCTCTACGAACGCCTATTTATTCTTTATCAAAGAATTTAACGCGCTACTTTTTGAAAGCCACATTAGTTAACAGTGATTACGCGAATCGTTCTCTTCCAGCAGGATGTGACCAACTATCGCAGTCGTCGAGAAGTTTCAAGGCTGATATCCGGTTAAGTCGGTAAAAGCCTACATAGCCTCGTTTCCACCTAAAACGAACCGCTACGATTTTCCTCTCGCACACGATATGAATAGGTATAAGGTAATATTAAAGTTCACGTAGGGCTATTCAGTACGATACATAGCCGTGTATAAACTATAGACTCGAGCGTAGGTGGTAAAGACGGCAGGATGTTAGCAATCGGTCGAAAAAGGATAGAACGGAAGCTCGCGCATGCACCCTGCCCGTCTGCTTAAGTACACACACGAAGCACCAGACAGACGATGGTTTCATGCATATAACGTTACGCGTATATTTGGACGGTGCACTGGATTTTAGTATGCAGAACAGGACGCCTTTAATGCTGAAATATCGCTCGAAACAGCCAGGCTTCGTCTCCTCGTCTTTCCAGTCGTCGAAATTTTAGGCGCTTTTCCTCTATGCTTCGAACAAAATCTGCGCTCCGCCGAATACGCCGATTTAAAACGATACATACTCGCGTACTTTTAAACGTGTCAACAATATCGCGCGTTACGTTTGAAAGTATTTTTTGCACTCCCCAAAGTACTTAAAGTTAGATGAGATACTAATTATGAAAATAATTATGTATAGGTATAGTTATTGTATGAATATGAGGTGTTGAAAGTGGAAATATTGGTATTTGTTTGCCTGAATCGCAGAAATGGATAAATATCTATATACGTATATACGCATATAGGTATATACATAAAATAGTATGTACTCCAAGAAATTGACCGAATGTTGCCAGCTGCCAGCTCCGTATTAAAGGAATCCCTGCATTCCTGCTCTTAATCCCCTTTCACCGGCAGCCAGCTTGTTTTTCCAAGCATCCGCTTCCAGATGTTTTACTGAACTCTCTCGCTTCTTGTTTTCGCCGTTGTTTTGTCTTCTGGCAGCATGCGCCGGTTTATTCGCGCCTGGATGAACACCCGCGAATTTTCAACCCTCTCCATCCTTCCATCTATCGACCTTTTCGTTCAAACCTCTTTATCACTCTTCGCTTTGCTCGTTTTTCCTTGGCTGGAACGTTTCTCTAGCGATTGACGAGGTCACGTCAACCGTGTTCGCGTTGCCTGTATCTGACAAGGAGATGTTACGAGCTGGGCCAGCGCTTTTTAGATGAAATTGGATTTCAGAGAACAGTTGACAATGAGTATTTATACATATACGTAGAAACAATTAAATATTAACTGCTAATACTTTTACCCGAATACTTTTATTTAAACTTATTCGCTGAACTTATACGGATTTACTCGCCGTTGTAACAACAAAATATTTCTTCGGCTCGCAATCGTTCAAAGATAAATAACACGCTGTTAAGTAATTACTTGGCAATGCAACCAAGTAATTCATTTTCAAATAACTATTTAAACAACTTTCCTCCATCCGAAAGATAAGAAATGTTTGAAACGAAATCTATCAAAAGATAGGCAAGGACTTAAAAACGAACGATAAAGAGCGAGTCGAAGTTCAGTCGATTCCTTAGAATTTTCATTAAAAGAGCAAATCGTTCCCTCCCTCCTTCCGCTTACTAAACCTCGGATACCTCCTTTTTTTATTCTTTCTCTTTCATTAACGGCACGTCGAGCTACTCTGCAATTTCCTTAGATAGACAATAAGCACGGTTAAGAAAAAGGAAGACGGGACGAGCCTCTGTGCAGCAAGAGTCGCTACTGCCTTTCATAAAATCCAATTTAAGAACTGCTTCTGATCCCCGTCGTCCGTCCTTATTCTACGGTAATAAAGAGCCAGCTAGACCTCTTTTCTTTATACACTTGCAAGTAAACTTCAGTTAATATGACGGTTATTATACTTTGTATACCTGCGACGTTGTTGCACAAGTTTATGATGTATATTGACGGGAACATCCGTTGTTCGGGTAATATAAATTCGATTAAAGCGTTTCTACCTTGCGATAGAACGTTTTTGCATACCAATCGATAATTTAAATTCGTTTAAAACTTTAAACATTATTCTTCGTTATCTCTGTTTCGTTGATGCTTCGAATATATTCGCAAATGTTATCGATGGGATCAATCTCCGAATGTGATGCGATAGTATTAAATAAGTACCTAACAGAATAGATGTCGCCATAAGGTTTTCATTATATTCAGATTTAATGCAACAAATTGTTACTTGTACTTCGTTAACTTTTATGAAAAGCATTTACATAACGCATCGGTACAAGTAACTGATTACACAAACTTTTCAAATGTAAATTACAGTTCATTTTATAGATTGTTTTCTTCGACTTTATCGCTACGTGGAAGGACATGGTTCTATATCGTTGACAGCATCGCGATAATTATTCCACAATCGGGCTTCTTGGAAGCACACCGCTCCGCCGCCTCGTGAAAATTGTGTATCCTGAAAGAAAGAGCATCCGTAGTAGCTAACGCTAATAAAAATTCATTGAAATCGAAAAAAAGATATCTACAGCTCTGTTGATGTCACCAATGCAGACCCAGTGATGGTTTGTTTTATTCTTGACCGTAATAGCCCATTTAGAATGATCTCGACTACTCGAGAAATCGACATCGGCTGCCTTCAAGTTCAGACTCTTCACGTTAAAAACCCTGTAAAATTAACGAATTTACGAAACAAATAAATAAAAAACCAAACAACGGAGATTCGAAGTTAGTTTTACTTTCTACGACTGCAATTAGACGGTAATTTTCCTCGTCCGTTCAACCACGACTGAACGTATAAATTCGACTGCAACTGTGGTGCGATAAAATCCTCGTATATATCTAAAATTCAACGCGACAACACATAAGCATCTTTACACAAAATAATGGGACAAAGTTTTATTGAATGTATAACGGTTACCTTTCTGCCACTTTTCACATTTAGCATACGAAATGAACTCTACGTTGCCGGAAGATTTCAAAACAGCTTTGTTGTTGTACGGCGGTGACTTTATATGTTTTCGAATGGTCGCATTTTTTAGAGCGGGATACTGTTCACTGAACTTTTCAGGAATATTTTTTGCGTACGCCGCTATTTCGTTAAACATTAATTGTTTGCCAACGACATTCAATTGATCACCATCCAAAGAGATGCACAAAAAACTCTGACCATAAAATGTCCCACTTTCTGGATAATTGTATTTACCCGAGTTAGTTACATTTTCCTTATTCGTTATTCGAGTATGTATACCGGTATTGGGAACTGGTGGAAAATTCGGGACACTATGAATTAACCAAAAGCCTTTATCGCTATTAACCGCCACTACACCCTTTGTGTGACCATAATTTGCAACGTACGTTGCGTCTGGCGGACTATCGTTATAAAGAATCCATAAACTGTTGTTTTCGTTTACCTGTATATGCAGTAGAATATTACAATGCATACCATTGACATTTGCCAGGGATTTTATCATTTTTCATCAAACTTTGGTCTTCTACGTCGTAGAAGATAATTGATTTTTTTAAGATACAAAATGTTCTAAAATTTTATTTTTACTCGGTTGGAGTATGAAAATTTAAATATATCGTAATGAAAAGAAATTACTCGTTTCAAATTGTACAAATATTTTGTTAAACTTCTGAAATAGAATTTAAGTACCGTTTTAAAGAACTGCAAACTTACGAAAATATTTACGATCGAATATTTGTTCTATGTAGCTGCAGTTACCTACAATTTAAACTACACTCTAACACCTTGTAATTACTATGAATCTGTGCTAATTGCAAGTAGTCTTACGTCACTATAAATTGGTGCTAATGTCATCCCAGGGATAGAATCGCTTGAACCAATGGGCCTAGTGGATAATCGCCAACCGGTTCCGATGGTTACGTTTGTAATATACAGATAAGCAAGACCATCTCTGATTAGGGCATTACTACTTTCCGAGACTTTCGGTAGCTTATATAACACGTACCTAAAATAGCATCACCTTGAACTTGAAACAATTCATTATTATTTACTCGAAGCAAAGATTCCCAAAATATAAGTCCTGATTCTTTTGCGAGTCGCGATAAATTACTATGTATAATACATATTTCCGGAAAATGGATTTTAACACACTAGAATATTGGAATGGGCAAACTTTGGAAAGTTTGGATCTTGGAATTCTTGGAGTTTTTTTAAACTTTGAAACCGTGAAAAATAATGCATTCTAAACGACTAGATCGCGAAGCATTACCGTTTCCGAAAATGGAACTCGGCCCATTGAAATTTAGGAAGCCCTGCTTTAGTGAAAGCGTATGTTCGATGATTATGAAAAGGCAAATACATCGATACTTACCAATCCACTGGTAGATTATTCTCGTCTCTACATTGTAGTTTATCGCTATGTATGGTATTACATACAATTAACAGAAAAACCAAGTGGAATAGAGCATGCATGATGGTATGCTAGAATAATGGGAAAATTTATCTATTTTTTTTCATTTCATTGCTCTGAAATACACTTTCTAAATGAATACACTAATATTGTATTTAATTTTAGCATAGTTGTACATTAGTCAGACATTACTTAAGAACTATTATTCATGATATGAAGTCATACTATAATTTTAAAATGTTAGAATGATAACATTATTGACTTGAAACTTTATATGTTATATACCTATGAAATTTAAATAAAAATTGTTTCAATTAGATCTGAATAAATGACTTAACATCTGTAATTTATGCATTTTTTTACAAAAGTATAAAGACTTAAATACAAAAAGACAGATCAACTTTTATTTTAATTTCATTAAAAATTGATGTTTATAACAAAGAATTACAAGTATTGGCAAAATTTCTAAACACGACCGAGATCATTCATACATGTATATTGGTGCAAATAATATATATGTTAAATATTTGATTCTTCCGCCGTACATAATCAAAAATATGATGTTTGTAATTCTTTTGACAAGTAATATGTACTGCACATGCGCGTATGCATCTATTTCGATCAGTTTAAATTTAATAAATTGTCTACGAGTCTGTATAAATATACGTACCAAAACAAATCGTTGTTAAAGTACAAGAACACTAAATAATTGCTTCAGCAATGTTGCTGCTGCCATTACAACGGTACTGAACACACTGGATACTGAACTGACCATATGCACAAGAACCATAAATGAAACATCGCGTTACGTCATGCATATCTATTCTTCCTATTGGCTGACGGATTAATGCATTCTGTTTCAAATGACGCATAAGATGTTCATATAACAATGGCTAAAAATTTTAAGATTATCGCATTTGTTATATTCTTTTACTTTTGTTAATATTACAATGATATCCAATAAAATTAGTTCGTAAGTAGAGTAAAGTCACATAATAAATAAATATATATATGTCATCGTTAACCTTTAGCGAATGAAACGTGTTTATATATTATAAGATGTAAAAAATAGAATGAAAGTCTTTGTACTGAATTTAGTACATATTATTGCGCATCAATTAATATGTATATATAAATTGAAATTAAATTGTATTGTAATCTTGTTTGTAAAAAAAAATCAATACGAACCTTATTAATTAAATTTTATAAGGATCTATCAATTTTATTTAAACGTTTCTTTTATCTTTGAAATTTTTAATACGATATTCACTTACACAAACGTTTAGCTCCATCTACAATCGAACGTCCGAATTAAAAATTGCAACGAGGTTTGTATGACCGACTGCGGCGAAACAGCAATATGGCGATTGTAAGCCACCGTAGGCTGAATGTCATAATATTACAATGAAAAAACAAGGCATATCGTGTAAAGTAATAACCACGTATTAAAGTCGTAGTTGAATAAAATGCTTTTTTACCAATAACACTGCCAACAAACTATTTTAAATTACGTTACATATTCCGTTGAGATATCTTTAAGAACCAACACGGAAAACAATAATGAGTTCTTTTGTAGAACTTGTTACAGAATATTCTTAACACTAACAGAAGAACGAAGAAATAAATTGTAAAACCTTTGACGAATGGAAGTATGTCTTCAAAAATATTATTTACATTAATTGCATAAATACAATGGTAATTTTTTATCCTAATACAAGTCTGATAGTTTTATCTGTTAAAACTACACTTAGATATGATTACATTTCATTTTTTCGTTCAATAAAATATATACGCGTAAGTTATTATAATTAAATATGTGTAAATTATCATTAATTAATATTTTTAATTATGTTTCTGCATTTTTTCCAGATCTTATGCATAAAAAAAATACACCTATGACATCTTTATGGCCTAATGCATTATACATTAAAGAAATTCCTATTATAATCTTTTAAATTTTTTATATTTAATCAAATAAATAAAATAAAATGAACAGAATAGATAACAATTCAGACAACGAAAGTTGGCACGAATGTGCTAAATGGTTGACCAGATGCGGAGCTTTAAGAGCTGATCACAAAGCAAACTGGCCAAAAGCAACCGCGGTTGACTTAGCTTATACTTTGAGAGACGGTGTGTTACTATGCAATCTTCTAAACACGGTCGATCCTGGTTGTATAGATATGAAAGATGTGAACCAAAAACCACAGATGGCACAATTTTTATGTTTAAGAAACATAAAAGTATTTCTATCCGCTTGCTCAGCCACCTTCGGCTTATCTGATTCTGACCTGTTTGAACCTTCCATGTTATTTGATTTATCAAATTTTCATCGTGTACTATGTACTTTGTCGGCTCTATCAAATTGTTCCCGTTTAAGACGCAGGGGTATCCCGTAAGTAACGTAATAAATGCATAATTTTTTATTTTGCAAATTATGTTTATTTGTTCTTACTTAAAATATTTGTATTATAGTGGTTTTTCCATAAGTCATGGTAGATCACAGGAGGATATTTATAAGGGTTTACAGAGTGCCGGTGCAGGGTAAGTTTTGGTGCAATTTTACAAATGTAAATACATCTATAAATTGATAGAAATTAAAGACAGAAAATTTATAAACTTATTATAAACTTTGATCACTTTAAAACGATTTGTATCAATGAATTCAGCCCCACAACAACGGTGGGAACATTTACCATAAAACCTAAGGGTATGGATGTAGATGAATCCCAAGTATATCAAGAATTACTCTGTTTCTCGAGTAATTCTCAGCATGACTGGCCTTCCACGGAGAAGGTATCTGTCGTTCGCAAGTTAAAAAGTTGAAAGATGTTGCAATAAAAGTACCAAACATCACTGTATTCCACTATTGAACAAGATAACTATATGTTACGTGAAATATAAATGAAAGGTTTTAATTAATGTCCAACATAAAATTAAATTAGTACAGTGATACTGGCACTATTTTTAACATTTATATTATATGTTTACCGGAAGTTTACGTGCTAAGCTATATTTTTTGTTGATAACGAGATCTACTGTTGCCACAAGTAGTTTATGTTTGCCAGAAATTTTATTTTTTTTATGCATGAATAGTGCATGGCTGTTCATATTTTTATGCTAAAGTCGTGAGGATGAAGGTCGTCGCAGAAGATTTAGAAGGCGGGAGGGAGACGAAGCTGGCGGAGGCGGAGACAATGAAGATCCGGTCGAAGAAGAAGATGGGTATGGAGCATATTGCAGCCATGCTAAAAGCGAAGAAATCTACCAAGATCTTTGTAGCCTACACTTACCACCTGCTCTATCTGTTATTCAGGTCGTTAAATTTTCTGTTTCTTATTTATTTATGTTATCGCAACGCTCACAATTGATCTCGTTATGCTTCCTAGTTATTTCATATTGTGCATGATATAGTGCCAACAAATAAATTTTAAACTAATATTTGTAAAATAGGATGGCGCAATTTGTGGAGGTGAAAAAAGGGACTATGTGATTCAGGAACTTGTTGAAACGGAACGCAATTATTCAGATGTTCTTAACAGTTTGCTTAAACATTTCGTTAGACCTCTGTCTCTTTTATTGCGACCAGAAGATTCAGCACGTATATTTTTTGGGATAAAAGAACTTGCTGAAATTCATGCAGGTTTTCATAGCCAGCTTCGAAAAGCAAGAACCGGTACAGCTTTGGCACAAGTTTTCCTTGATTGGCGACAAAAATTTCTTATTTATGGCGATTATTGCGCTAATCTTACGCTTGCTCAAAATACATTACAGGAAGCCTGTACACGCAACGAATCAATTAATCAGGAAGTTATTGTAAGTTTTGAAACGTTTACATTTTCCGTTATTAGAGAATGTTTCCATTATTTTTCGTGAATCAAAATTAAATTTACAGAGGTGTCAACAAGAAGCAAACAATGGTAAATTCAAACTACGGGATATACTATCAGTTCCAATGCAAAGAGTATTGAAGTATCATTTATTACTAGACAAACTAGTAGAAGAAACTCCTTACGATTGGTTAGAAGATAGGCGTCAGCTTGGAAAGGCTAGAGAAGTAATGGTTGATATAGCTCAATATATTAATGAAGTAAAACGCGACTCTGACACATTGGACATTATAAAAGATGTTCAGGCATCGATAATTGATTGGGACGTTCCAGAAGATGCGCAATTAAAAGACTTTGGCCGATTACTTTTAGATGGAGAGCTTAAGGTATTCTTTTCTTAATAGACATATTTTAAAATTAAACGTTAGCAAATTATTATAAATTGGATTTCAGGTAAAAGCTCACGGTGACCAACGGGTAAAAGCCCGATATGTATTTGCTTTCGAACAAGTGATATTAATTTGTAAAGCAGGTAGAGGAGAACAGTACTGTTACCGTGAAACATTACGTTTAGATAATTATCGATTGGAAGATCATACAGGTAGACGAACACTTGGCAGAGATTCTCGATGGTCTTATCAATGGTTGTTGGTACACAAACAAGAATATACAGCGTACACGTTGTATGCAAAAACAGAAGAGCAAAAACAAACATGGATTAAGGCATTGCAAGACACAATGGATAATGTCAATCCTGCTGCTTGTCGTAATACGAATCATAAGTTTAAACTTACAACATTTGATACTCCTCGTAGTTGTCAACAGTGTGACAAATTTTTGAAAGGTCGCATATTTCAGGTAATCTATTGTAAATACGAATTAAATATGAAATATTGTGATAAAAGTTCATAATTGAATATTTCATACAAACAGGGATACCGATGTGATGTTTGTCGCCTAGCTGTACATAAACAATGCATTGCGCATTCAGGTAGATGTATGCCAGCACCGCCTCCACCTCCACCTCCGCCGCCACTACCATGTGAGCGTGCACTCTCGGTAAAACTGTGGTTTGTCGGAGAAATGGGACGGGATACGGCCTCGAATAAACTAGAACCTCGCGAAGATGGTACATACATGTTACGAGTACGGCCTGCAGGTCAACCCCGTTTGAAACATGAAACTAACTACGCACTTAGTATCAAGTAAGAGATTAATATATTATACTTTTTAACTGAAATATCTTGGCAGATAACAACCTTGAAAATAATTAATTAATATTACAGAGCAGACGGAGCGGTAAAACATATAAGAGTATTTAAACGTGATGTCGATGGCGCTGACTTGTATTATCTCAGTGAATCTCGTTTCTTTAAAAGTGTAGTCGAACTTGTCGAGTATTATGAACGAGCATCGTTGTCTGAAAACTTCGAAAAATTAGATCAACGTTTATTATGGCCGTATAGACGCGTATTAGCTAAAGCTTTGTTCGATTTTCGTGGAGGCGAACGAAACGAATTAAGTCTACGACGAGGCTGTAGAGTTGTGGTATTAAGTAAAGAAGGTGATGCCAAAGGATGGTGGAAAGGAAAAATAGGAGATCAAGTAGGATTTTTTCCAAAGGAATATGTTGAAGAAGAATAATCATGAATTATATTATCTAGGTACTCTTCCTTAATATGATTGTACAACATTCTACTTCTCATGTGTGATCGTGCAATCGCAAAAAGATTTATTAGAACACTCCTCAATAGAGAACGAAAGGAAAAAGTAAACTACATAATAACACATTTTTATGTCATACTACATGACAAAAATAGACTTTCACACACTGATATCATAGAAATGCAGTTTATTTTACTGTTCTCTTTGCTTGAGGTTGCATTGTATTACAATTATAAAAATAGAAGATACATATTTGCGTAATTCGACCGAACATATAAAAACGTATACGTTTAGGTACTTGTATAGACGACAGAAGTACAATTATTTTTCGGTACTACATGACAGAACTAATACAGTTAGAAAAGATCATAAAGATTAAAGTTGTCTATTTTTGTATGTTAAAATTATGGAAAAAAAACATATTGCCAAATGTTTATACTTTTAGACAACTTCTTTCTTTATGACTGTATTTTGAAGTCAATTGCAAAGCCTCAATTGTATATACTGTAATTCTGTATTGTTAACGATACAAATTTTAGCTACTTCTTAAATATAAGCGTATACATACATAAATATATAAACAATCGCTACACGCATTATTGTAACAAATTAATTATACTATTTTTTTAACTGTTACACATATTTTCTGATTGTGCCAATAAGAATAACTAATAAAATTTAGACCTTATTGAAATGTTAACATAAAAAGGACGCGCTGTTTCTATAACTTAATTCTTTCTTTTACCATAATAACATTCAAAGTTCAAGTTGTTTCTTTCTTTCGGCATATATAATAGCAGCTACTTTCTGTTCTAATCTTTTACAGCCAGCTGTTGCGTACAGATTATGAGGAGGAGGCCCAAAAATTACATAGGACAATCCTTCCTCTAACATATCATTAGTAGGATTTACACCTCTATCTATAAAAGCTTTCTTTAAACACTTTTTTACATGTATTTCTTCAAGTGGTAAAAAAGGCACATAGTGATCTATAACATTAGAGTCTATTGTATCGCTACGATAAAAACCACCTTTTTCATTAAATGCTCCAACACTTATCAGATTCTCAAAATCTTGAAGTTTAGTTGTATGTCTGTTTTTGCCTTCTCCCCAAAGATTTAGTAAACGTTGCGTAATTCGTGAACTGCCTGTATTAGACAAAAATATATAAATTGCTTTCCTCGTATTTATAGAATTGCTTGCAAATCTCCATGATTTGATCAATGTGTTATAATCCAAAAATGGTACAAGAACATTTAACAAGCCTTCTGGCATTTTATCCACTTCGTCAAATACAAACATTGACCTTTCACATTTTTCTAAACTATTAACGATAAGGTTGCGTAATTCTTCCTGCATAGTATAAAGTGTTACTTTACAAAATAATTTATATTCAAATATATAAAAATAAAATATCAAATATAATTTTTTATTAGAAATGCAAAGTTAATTTCATAATACAAGTAAACATACCTTATATTGTTCTAAATTCTTTTCTAAAGGAAAATCATTTCGACCATTAAAAAAATGATAAAAGTTACTATGATCGCCCTTTTTATAAAGAAACTTGGCAATCATTTGAGTCATGAAAGTTTTACCAGTTCCTGGTGGACCATGAAAACTCATGGTCAAAGCTTTTGGAGGATCAGAGGTGATTAAATGTCCACGTAAAGCATTTACAACAACATGATGAGCAATTTCTTGCCCAAACAGTTCTTTACTGAGAATGTCATCTAATGCTAAAACAAACACATGTATAATCAATCGTTTATGTACACGAACTTTTTAAAAAATATTCAATAATGCAATATTCAATCTTTCTCATTATTATTGTACTTACTATCAAGATCAGGAGAAATATATTCACTGTTGCAACATTCTGTAAATGTACACTGCACATATCCTGGGATATTAGAAATCTTGTTATGTATAGTTGAAAATATTGACGTGAACGAAAATTCACATTTTACACAAACTATCAAAATATTAATTAAGATACATAATAATAAAGAGTTGACAAGATTCATCTTTTAATAACGTTTAAGTATTTGGAAAATATTAAATAGTTCATATTATATTATTGATAATAATTCATATTATAACATGAATTTATACAAAACAATATTATCGTGCATGTAAACACCACATTCTAAAACATGCCTATTTGCACCGGCAGGTTGTGCGATTTTAAATGCTGAAAGGAAACAAGATTTTCTATTGGTCCAATTTTAAGCATACCTATCCAACTACTGTGACTAAGACTACGTTTCCATCGAAGGTTCAAATCGGGTCAGAGTCGGGTTAGAGTCGGGTTTGAGTCGCGGGTTGGAGTTGCGGCAGGGTTGAACATTACCAACTGCACAAAGTCAACTACCATATTCTGACATGTAAAGGAGAGCAATATTAATTTTACAATATCAAAATAACATACAAAAATTATTTCTCAGATTACAAGATCACCGACAAAAAGTAATAATAACCTCTTCTACACCGATTAATACAGCACGTGATACACAATGCAATCTGGATTTGTTATGTTGGCAACACGAACTCGACTCTTGTCGTTTCCACCGAACCCAATTGAACGCTACCCTAAAATTTTGTAGGGTAGAGTTCAACTAAACCTTTGGTGTTTCCACCGTAAAAGCGCTCACCTCAACCCGACTCTAACCCGACTCTGACCCGATTTGAACCCTCGATGGAAACTTAGTCTATATTTTATATCTATGAAATAGTACATACATATATGCTATGAACAAACTTCAAAATAGTATATAATGTGTTATGCAAATGGATTTAAATGCAAACAAAATATGAAGAAATGTAACTTTTATGAAACTAATTTTATAGGCGATATTTTCAAATTTACATAGAATTATAAGTTGAATTAATAATTACTTAATAATTAAGAATTAATAGATTGACATTAATTTACAATGGAAATGAACGATTACAAGACGAGACCATTTTTTATGAACAATGTCACAATCGAAGGCACGTGTAAGATTCATATTATCTACTAACCGATTTGCTAAATTAGGGTATATATATAGCTGCAATCGCAGCTAACGAATGATAACGAAGGAGAAGCTATCCACTAAAACTTTGTTTAGTTTTCGACTCATTGAACAAAGATTAGTGTTGTAATAAAATTTAAACGATATATCATCGACTGTATTTAATATATTGTGCATTCCTTTCAGTGATACTCATATAATAGTCATATATTTTCTGTAAAATATTTCCACACTACAGAGGAAGAAATATGGCGTCAGAAAATTCTACTGTTGATACCGTTTCTACCAAGTTATATACGCGAGCAGAAGTTGCCAACCATGTCGAAAGTGACAAATTATGGCTTATTATTAACAATAAAGTTTATGATGTGACAGACTTTTATCGTGAGGTTTATAATCATATTTTTGTGTTCAATTTTTTTTACTCTATTTTCGATAATCCTTAATAAAATTTATATAATTTAAAAAAAAATGTCTCATATTTTTGATTTAAGCATCCAGGTGGCGAAGAAGTTCTTTTAGAACAAAACGGTAAAGATGTAACGGAAATATTTGAAGACATCGGTCATTCAAGCGATGCTAGACAAATGATGGAGTCATATAAAATAGGGGAAATAGTAAAAGTAAGCATAGAATTTAATATTTACATATTCTTTGTACCATATACTTCCTGTCATTAGAATTATCTAATATAGGAGAACAAACTTATATTTTATAAAAGGATAATAATTTGGTAATTTTAGAGTGAAAGGACAAAGGGAAATGCTTCTGTATTAAATGGAATATCCGAAGAAGAAAATACCAGGTATAAAATCTCTTTTGCATTATTATTGATTATTAGTATATATATATATATATATATATATATATATATACATAGTTGAAAAAGTTATTTCAAGTATATATTTTTCTTACTAACAACTTGTTTATTATATGTTTTAATTCTCTGTATCTATTGGATAGCACAATTGAAAGTCTAACACTATTATAAAACCATGCTTAATACGTTTATAACAATATATCTGCTTCGTTGTATATTGGTAAGTTAAAATATTTGTGCTATCCAAAGCTACAAGATTATTAAAATTTGAAGTATGTGATATGTAAATAGTCGGTGCTGCATCATGATGTGATGATCGGTAATTGCAGTGGTTCTTGGAGATCATGGCTAATACCTATCGCACTTGGAGTTCTGGCGACATTTGTTTACCGTTATTTTATCAAAGCACATTGAATCATTCCTGATAATTATTTTTTGTAATTTGTATAAATAATTGTTACAAATAATCAATCAAAAAATGTTATATATATTGCACATAATTACAGTTTTTTCATGATATGAAATTGCATATAGAAGATGGCCTAGTATAAAATCATTTATAAGATGTCAAAGTTCATTTGTGTCACCAAACAGAATGGAGGTATATATGAATACAAGAATACGCTAACTTTATTTGTATAATTGTATCGGGTCACTAACACAAGGGGACAAGCTTTAATTTTAAAACATAATATATTTAAAGAGAATAGTTTTATGAGAAAAGTTCATTGTCAGTAATACAACAGCCTTATTAAAATATATATTTGTTTCTATATGCTTAGAAAATGATACATCAATTATAGATGCAAGCAATGTTTAAGTCATTGTTAAGTTTGTATTTATCACAGTTAAGAAGACTAAAAATTAAGTAAAATGCTTGCACTCAAATGACAAAATATATAGTTGACGAAACAACAAATTTTTATTTTTGTAATGCATTGCATATAATTAATATATTACACTCTGATCATGAAATTCATTAAACATTTATTGTATATTTATGTATGCCATGAAATCGATATTATACAATAAAATTGCATTTTGTTATGTCTTACATATCGTATATAATATTTTTACAAATTTACGAGTCCTGATATTATACGAATGTATATACTATACTTTGGTCGATTAGTATCGTACTTTTATGATCGGATAAAGTAATTTCTCAAAGTCCAAGAGTTGACAAACAAAATTGTTCAGTCAATGATATTTTATAATGTTTATAATTTCCGTAAAAATAAAGCTTCGAATATGTTATACAAAGTATAACGAGGTCACTGATATGCAAAAGCAACACATTAATTTTTATCATTGTCCACGTTATCGCTTTAATAGTAAATGACTAATTACGTGACATAGTTATAAATTTTGTTAAAATTGCTAGTGGAATATTGAAATGGAAAGCTAAAAATATTCACCTATTTTATTTGCATTTTTCACGCTTTATTTTGTTAGTTATATAGAAGTTATACATCGATAGCCGTTGTAACGCGTAAAATTTGTAGATGTATTTTACTCGTACGAATATAATTACAAACGAATGTTAATAAATACCGATGTTAAGTAAAATCTCATTCCCTTAGATCAACACGATGATTTAAATATGATAGAAAGGAAAAAACAATCGGTGTAAGAAGAATTCATAGATATCCGATAAAAGTCGAAAGACAGAAACACGATATCGAGCGAGTTTGGGCGCCGACGCTGGTCGCTCGTGCTTCTCTTTTCCTTTCCTTCTCGCACTCTCGGTTTCCCCTTCCCGATCTCTTTTATGTTCGCCTTTGGCGGGTACGTCTCCCTCTGTCGAACACCCAGTTCATCGTCAAAGGTGGATCAGTACAAGTCGTATCGCGGTATCATCGTATACACGTACTAACTCGTACGCAAAATTCGTGTGAAAAATTTAACATCGAAAACAATTCGATTTGAGTACGCAAAACGAGGCTCGATTTAAGTTATCGAGGGTGCAACCGTTCGAAATTCCAAAGGAGAAAGGGGCGTACAGCAGTGTCGCCCGTTGAAACGCAAACGAGAAATTCACAAGAGAATTTAGCGCAAAAATATAGCCAGACGGCGGTCCGAAGACAGCTGTAAACGGCAGAGACAGTGGTTGCACCGAAAAGTCGGCGTAGTGTCATGAGAGGCGGTCTCACAGTCCGCCCTTCTTATCGGTCCCTCTTAGAGTCATGCATGTCGCGCCCTTCAAACGAGGTGAGCGATATTATCGTTACTTTTTTTTATTTGTATCGTAATTATTGTTCACACCGTTTTATACGATACCGTAAAAGTTAACCTGGATAGAGCCACTTAATTCGTAATTGGAAAAATTCGCGCGCTTTTTACCCTCGCCGGGTTACTCATTCATAAACGCTTCTCCCATTCTTGGACAGAGTTCCCTGCTTGAACCGCTGACTATGAATGTTCTATCCGATTAACAATTTTACGTGATTATAAAAATTGAGATAAATTTGCGATATCGTACGCGATACGATATAATAAAAAGAAAATATAATTTATATTTAATCACATAGATAACTTTCCACAAAGAAATCACAGTTAGATATCTGTTGAATTTCTAAAATAATGTCAAGTAGATATAAATGAATTGCAAAGTATTTTGAAATCTTCTGAGAAAAGACACACGATCAAACAAAACCTGTTGGTATATGAGAGAGTTATAGGACAGAAAGCACGTGCGTGTGCCAAGGTGCATTATAATTCATGTTTCCTTATGCCCTGTAGTGTTTTCGTTGGGTTAATTATGTTTACGCATTGCCAAATGAACTTAACGCGAAAAATATTGAATCGCATGAAATATACAGATATTGAAAATAATGCTATATTTCTACGAAGAATAATTTTTTTTTCTTCGATTAATCATCATACTTGGGTAATATTATTATATATTAGTTGAAAGTTAATGAATATTTAACGCGAGGTAAAGTACATTGTTTAAGATTCGTAGAATGTAAAGAATATTGAAATATTATAGATTTACGACGGTTTAAAATGAACGAACGCATAATTTGGTACATTCGTCGTAAACGTTACTTTCACAATTTTATAGTTGTTTATGCTTGTTCACAAATAATTGACGTAGGCCAGCAAATATTTCCAAAATGAATTTGCAACTAATTCGCACAATTAACAGAAATCGTAGGAAACGTAGAAAAATGATCGTTATGCAATGAGAGAGCGCAACTACCGAAATCCGTAAAGTCAAAGTTGCATCATTCCGTGAAATGGTAAGCCGGTAGAATGCACAAATTTTCCGAATATATCCAAGAATACCCGCGGTTTTCTATCGAATCACCTCGACAATGATTGCTAAATTTATCGAACTCGAAAACATCCGTCGATCTTCCCACCTTTATTCTATTCATTCATAAGTGGGTAACAATCAGTTAAGACTGTTCTTTTAATGAATACAAAGTTAAATTTCCAGGTCCGACTCGAGTAGAGTATCTTTAGAACAGTATTTTAATAGAGCAGAGTATTTTAAGATGCACGCTGTGAAGTGGTTTTCCATTTTTCGTTGTCGAATGTGTTTATTTTTCGGAAAGTGTAACAATAATCTAGTATATTTGATTCGTTATAAACGATCGAAAAAGAAATTCTAATTTCTTCGAGAACGGATTCCAAAATTTTCAATATCTAAAAAGACGAAGAAATTTACTAAAAATATGAAGGAGGAAAACTGCAAATTTTTTGAATCATAAAATGTCACACATGATACTATGTCAGTGACTGTAAATATAAGTATTACGCAGCACACGTTAGATTGTATGCGAAACTCGATTTTTCTACGTAGTTTCTTTTTTTTTCCTTTAAAAAAAAAAAAAAAAAATCATAAATTTTTCGATGTCAATTGAACACTTCCCGCCTACGATTTCGAGGCCTTATTTTTAACATTTCATAATAGCCATGTGCCGCCTGAAGTGGACATAAATAGAAGAACAACTTCACAACGAACTGCTCGACGAACAGACGACAAATATTCGACGACGTGTTCCGTTTAAGCCAATTATTCTTTACACGCAAACTGATGCAGTTATATTCTTATTCGTGCGGCTCTCTTACTATCTAGCTTGTACGTGCTTCAAATAGCGTTGCCTTTATCGTAAAGGCTTGCTTCTACCATTGCCATCGAATATAGATACATGTAAACATAATTTTTTAATTTGCATAGAATCGCGATCGCAATATTATCCTTCACTGAATGCGTAATCCTTTTATCACTGTTTATCGATGCTTCAAATTCCACATAATATTATTAATTAATGTCATGCAAAGTTTATTAATACGATAATAATGGACCGTATTCTTAATTGCCTAATATGATACGCGTTAATAAGATTATTAAATTCATCAAGGATCAATTTTATTCTCTAAATTGAGGATATGTTCATAACGTTCATGTTAGTCAACGCGTTGATAATTTAAAGATCGAACTAAATGCTTGTACAATTTAAGAAATTCTTTCTCCGTGACTCTCGTTGCTATATTAGCAATGAGAAACATTGTGATCGATAGTGTGAAATGAAAACCGTTGACCAATGTCATGCGGTTATAAATCAACGACTTTACACTGACAGTTTTACCATTTGACGTGGAAAGCAAATTGAATGTTCTCTTCCGTCAGTATTTACGCAACAGTAATGAAGTTGTAAGCATCGCTTTAACTCTTTGTGTAATACAGGCGTAAATCACCGTAATTCAAAATTGGCACTCTAACAATACGGTGATATGTTTGCATATTTTAAATATCGAACAACAGATACATCGTACGATAAATTTTCAACTTGGAAAATTTTGAACCTCTTATTATCTATTTTCCAATATATAATTACATGTTCATAAAAGTACATTTAAAATTGGACTCGCGCGCAAAACAAAAGAGTATCTAGAGTTTAATCCGTCACTTCATGCTCTGTGATTCGAATTAGTTCTCTCGACGTAATTTAGGACCAAATTACAAGTATATAAACATAAAATTCGGCATAAAAAATGTTAAACGCGTTGAGATATGCCACGATGTTTCAGTCCGTTCGCGCAATTTTCAACTCAACGATGAATCGATTAGGAGTTTATGCGTCGACAAAGAGGTTCAAAGTTTAGTCGTATAGTTCGTGGAACGGATCAGAGCAAACGAGAAGTCGTTAACTGCACGAAGTTCGATGTAAAAACGCCGGTGAACGTTCTTCCGATAGATTTTAAATCGCAAAATATTCAACGTGTCAATATTGTGTAGAAGTTATGTATTTGCCGTTTTAACTCAAAAGCGTAATTTTTTAAATCATCGATACGTATTAAGTTTTTTAAAAAGAATTTCGTATCGTTCTTTGCAACTGATTTACAGCCTTCGACCGAGAATACAATTTTCTTTCAACCGAGACCTTGCTCGAAGATCGGTTTCTTTCGCACGAACGATCAATTAAACGCAATTGGATCATTACGACACTTTAGTAGATACAATAGGTATTAACGCGCTTTAGAAATGGTTTTTATTGATGGCGTTCAAACGACAATTTTTTCATGATTTTTTACGAGAATAAATAGAGACAAAGTGTAGAATAGAATTAACATTTATAAATAACGACTAATTCATTAAAAAGATTAAAGAGACACGTTGATGTGATGCCAGACAGTGAAATAACCCACTGGTAAACGGCTGTCTACTAAGCACCACTGTCTACGAACGTCCGCGTTAGCATATCGCGTTACCAGTTCGACGGATTTTGCAACTTAATTCCCAGTTTGTCATTGACCGAGCACGAATGCTTCTTTAACCGGTCTTAATTATTTATAATCGTAAAGTCATTTGTTTCCAGTATATGGAGCAATTGTACCGTTATAGGATCATAATAAAATATCGATCGTGATTTATTTGAAACCTTTTCGTAAATGTCAACCGTTAGCCCATTGGTAATTACCGTGAAGCCGTGGAAAATAATAGTATAACAATATTTGTATGTAAATGTTATTGCCAACAAACGAAAATTCATGCGTCATAGAGACATTTACACCTAATTAAGAGAACCGTAATAATTATCACGCACCGTTCCTTAATGCGATATTAGAAAATTATTCCTTATTTTTTACCGAACGATCTAAAAAAATACAGTTTTAACAATGCATCGTACACGTACGTCTTTGTTATTGCATCACGCAGCGCACAAACAACCGAAGCCAAAAATTTCGGTCGTCTTGACTATTTTTAATCTTAATTCTTATTTTAAGTATGCTTTGTGTTATAAACAAAATATAATCGGTATAAAGTGGAATAAACATGTGGATAAACGAGGCTACCTGTTGGGAGCAACGAAACGGTCAGCAATTTTTACGTACGTTTCAATTGCAAAAGCGTTCATCGAGGAAAAAAAGTGCAAACTGCTTTCGTAATTAAATTATTCGAGACTCGTTTAGTCGAATTTTAAAATTTGTTTCGATAAAAGTAAATTTCTTTCTTCCATCTTTTCTTTTTTCTTTTCAGAAAAAAAATAAAGTTAAAGCGATCAAACGTTGCGTATTCTTTGTCACATAGGTAATCGGATTTATAATTTTCCAGTTATTCGAGAAACTTAGCAAAAAGAATGTGCCCACGTGTTTTATGAAAGACGATTTTATAGGATAGATATTTTAAAATGGACGGTATTTAAATATCATGCAAAGATAAACCATAAGCGTGACAAGAAAATCAATAGTCTTTTATCGAAAGGTCACCTTGAAGAAGAAGTCATACACGCTTTGCGTAGAGCACGAGACTCGATCGCTCGGGTGTTGAATTCGTTTAAAAAAAGAAATCAATTATACTCGTATTGCACTTTACACGATTATTCGTTCTAATGTTCCACGAAGGTTTATCACTTTCGATATCCATTATCGACTTTACTATTGATAATGTCGATTCTCGTGATTGGTATATGCACCATAAACCTCGAACGATCTATATTAATCATCAACGATTAACAAACTCGATACAGAGTTTTGTTTCGGTTACGTAGTAAATGTTTCTTCGTCATGGTCGTGGAAAACCACCTGTTCAGATTCGAACAACACCCGCCATTTAATCGTAAAGAAAAGAACAACGATTTTGCAGGTCACGAGAAATCTTTTGGCATCCGGCCACGCGAACTATTACGGTAGCGGTAACATCGTCACGACGATAATAATAACAAAAATAACGAATGTCGTATGGCGGCATAAATACAAATTCAATGATTTGCCGCTTTTTAGATTTGCAAGTACCCTCTCGAAGTGTCTTGGTATATCTCTCGTTGACAGGAAAATAATCGCGAACAGGAAAATACTTACCTACTCATAAGTATTGTGTATTAGATAAATTCGTAATTACCAGTTATGCACGAAGGTAATTGTACTATCGATTTATGCCGCTTTTAAATCGATCATTTTACGTTAGACGGATTCAATTTCAAATCCGTTTCTTTCCGATCGGAAAAAAAAAAAAAAAAGGAAAAAATTAAAAGGAGACAAACGAATTGTTTCAGCTACCGTGGGACACGATCCACAGACGAGTAATGGTAACAGTCCATTGCAGCAACAAATGCAAACCGGTGGCTGGATTGGAATTCCAGAATCAACTTTGGTCCAACGATCGATCAGAAACAACGACAACAGCAACGGTTGGAACCACCCAATCACATCGCCGTTTCAACATTCTCAACAACAACAACAACAGTTACACGAACGGAAGCAGAAGGAAGTTAAATCTGGGGAGTTGGGAGATGATGAAGATGGGGGTGGAGGGGGTGGAGGGTTGGAGGGGACGGACCCAGAGGAGGACAACTCTGTTCACCTCAAGAGACGGGTGGGACTCGTCAGTGGGGTGGCTCTAATCGTTGGTACCATGATAGGTAGAGATCCATACGATCTAACTATCGAATCGTTTCAAAAGACTTTCCGTAATTTTCTAATTAATAATAATCATATAACGCAAGTTACGAAGCGTTCCGACGAAAATCACGCGAGCACTTCTGAAACGACTCGATACTATTTCTTCTTTGAATTTATGTAAATCTAAAATATTTGATCGTAACGGTTGTAAACCGGCAGGTTCTGGGATATTCGTTTCGCCGTCAGGGCTTTTAGTTCGGACTGGCAGTATCGGAATCAGCTTCCTGGTATGGACGGCCTGCGGTATGTTAAGTCTGTGTGGTGCGTTGGCATACGCTGAGTTGGGCACAATGAATACGAGTAGCGGCGCCGAGTACGCTTATTTCATGGACGCGTTCGGTGCACCGCCTGCTTTCCTCTTCTCATGGGTTTCGACATTGATCCTAAAGCCATCTCAGATGGCGATCATATGTCTCTCGTTCGCGCAGTACGCGGTGGAAGCCTTCGCGGCCGACTGCGATCCTCCCGAAGAAGTCGTTAAGGTCGTGGCGCTCCTCGCTATTATACTTATACTGCTTGTGAACTGCTACAGCGTTAATCTGGCCACTGGGGTACAAAACGCGTTTACCGCTGCCAAATTGATCGCCATACTGGTCGTGATAGCCGGTGGCTCGTACAAATTGATACAGGGTAACACGCAGCATCTGAAAGGCGCGTTCGACACGATGGACGGAAGCACCGTTAACGTCGGTAGATTAGCTACAGCTTTTTACACCGGCCTATGGGCGTACGACGGATGGAACAATCTTAATTACGTTACCGAAGAGATCAAAGACCCTTCAAAAAATCTACCGCGTTCCATCATGATTGGCATACCCCTTGTCACGCTGTGTTACGCGTTAATAAATTTATCATATCTAGCTGTGATGTCCCCTTCGGAAATGATCGAAAGCGAAGCGGTCGCGGTGGTAAGATCACTCGTGTTTCCTTCTGCCTGGTTACTTTACCTGTAAAGGTTCGTTATCCTCTTCAATGTTTTGCAGACTTTTGGAAATCGGATTCTCGGCGTTATGGCGTGGCTTATGCCGCTCTCTGTTGCGATCAGCACCTTCGGTTCTGCAAACGGCACTCTTTTTGCAGCGGGTAGACTCTGCTTTGCCGCGTCTCGAGAAGGTCATTTACTTGATTGCCTCAGTTACGTACACGTGCGCCGTTTTACTCCTGCGCCAGGACTAATTTTTCACTCCCTTGTTGCAGGTATCTTTTCTATCGCTATTTTATTTCTCGGAAAATATTGATTATCAATAAATACATGTACTCACTAATTACTTTATAAAATACCTCTTAGGAGCAATGGTACTATCCGGAAACATAGATTCTTTGATCGATTTTTTTTCATTTACCGCTTGGATCTTCTACGGTGGAGCAATGCTAGCTCTGTTGGTGATGCGAAGGACCAGACCGAATCATCCTCGACCATACAAATGCCCGCTGATAATACCTGTACTTGTACTTGGAATCTCAGCGTACCTGATTGTAGCGCCAATCATCGATAAACCACAAATTGAATACCTATACGCGACTGGATTCATATTTGCGGGCATGTTTGTCTACCTCCCATTCGTTAAATATGGATACGTGCCCAAATTTATGGGTAAATATTTATTTTTAACAAATAATTCTCACAGTCCACGTTATAGTTATGACAAAATTACTGTTTCTGTTCGCAGAAGGAGTGAATGCCTTTCTCCAAATGTTACTCGAGGTGGCACCGACGGCTGCAGCCTTTGATTGACTTCGATCGAATAGTAAAATTATTCTTTAAATGCCAAAACATTTCATTACGGCATCATGAACGTTATATAAATATCTATTTTAAATGTGTATAAACGAAAATATGTATCCTATTATCAAAGTTCAAGGCTGGCCTGAATGAATTCATAAATACATAAAAATATTATTTTATTACTTGTTAGTTATACGATACATAGAACGCGTTGTTCTTGTATACAACTACCAAATGTTGTAGCAACTGAAAAAATGACTAAAAATATTTTAAATGTTTACAATTGGAAGTTCATTTCTTACTTTTACCCGATTTCTTGCTCACTTTTCCATAAACTCCTAATATATCATTGGAATTCTTTTTACGAATCTTCTTAGTCTTATGTTTTATAAGACTTTTATCGAGTCCTGATACGTGTTTTATGCTTTGTTCTCTATTCTTTTTTTTCTCTTTTAACTCTTTGTAATTAATCCCCTTTTTCTTAGGAGGTTTTGCACCCAAACTTATAGCAAGACCAACTTTTGCTTCTTCCGCTTTTAATTTCTCAAAACCAGACATACCAAATTTCATAACTTCGTACCTAATACGTTTCATTTCACGTTCTTGTTCTTTCTTTTGATCTCTACCTTCCTCTAGTTTATTAGTTGCTATGTTAAACCTAGAATTTGGAAGTTTGTTTCTTTCTTCACCTTCTTCACCTTTCATTACATTATCTTTCCTTTTTTTAGTGGGTTTTTCATAACTAACAGAGACAAATCCCTTTATAGCATCTTTCTTCACTTTTGATACTCGTGTTGGAATAAAATCTTCCATTGTCAAATACTAAAGTAGAAATATAACTTATTACTAGCAATTCAAATATTGCACAACTTATATAATTAATATCTATTTACTCCAATATCTCTTAAATTTGAATATAATTATTTTTTTCAAATACGAAATAACGAATTTTAACTATTCAATTAACACTAATGATCAGTCAATTTTGTAAACATCTTATACAGTTTTATTTACAAATTCAGAAATAAGTATATGTATTATACATGGTCTGTGAGTTTAAAAAAAAAAAGAATTAAAATCATGATGTTCTGTGACGTAGTTGAAGCGAAGGAAAGTGAATTTAGTATAATTATGCGAAATGTTATAGAATCTAATTTTGTAATTTGATTTTTAAAACGTTATAAAAAAAAAAACATTTTTATTCAGCTGCATTTTTTATGGGTATACTTACCTGTGTGTACGGCTGTAATTCTAATGTATGTAAAATTCTTATGTGAAGAGGTAGAGGGTAGAGATGACAAAAATCTGAACCATAAACTATATTCCGAACGAAATGAAAGATCTCACAGTAGCGCATGCATCACCTAACCTCAAATAAGTGTAAATAAAGAAGTCATTTTTATATAATGGAAGAAAAATCCCTTATTAATATACGTTTGGCAGTAAATAGAATTGATTTGAATTTGATAAAGAATGAAGATACACAACCTCGTATATACACTCCCGGAGAAGAAATTTCTAGTCAACCAGATTTTCTAAGGTAAAAACTTAAGTTTTAATTAGCTGCTGAAGAGAAATAACATTTTTATTTGTCATACGTTTTTAATAGAGGCCACGGAACGTACGTAGACGATGAAAACACATTACGTGCATCTGTAGCTGGCGTTTTAGAGAAAGTAAATAAACTCATTTCGATTAAGCCATTAAAAGCACGTTACCAAGGTGAAATAGGAGATGTAATTGTTGGTCGCATAACTGAAGTGCAACAAAAACGATGGAAAGTTGATACAAATTCTAAACTTGACTCTGTATTATTACTTTCTAGTGTTAATTTACCCGGAGGAGAATTGGTATGACATTAAGAAGCGTCTGTGCCAAGTTTTGAAGTATCCTAAAAACTTATTGTAAGTTTAAAATAAAATTTTTATAATTTATAGAGAAGAAGATCTGCAGAAGATGAGCAAACTATGAGAAGATATCTCCAAGAAGGAGATTTGATTTGTGCAGAAGTACAAAGTACCTTTATAGATGGTTCACTTTCGTTGCATACACGAGTTTTGAAATATGGCAAACTATCACAAGGTATAATGTTAAAAGTTTCACCAGCCCTCATAAAACGAAAAAAAACTCATTTTCATAATTTGGAAAATGGAGCAAGTTTAATATTAGGGAACAATGGTTATGTGTGGATTGGAGCAAGTAAACAAGATACCGATAGATCAGAAGGTGGTTTCGCACAAGATTTATCACGAATTCCACAAACAATTCGTGAAGTTTGTGCAAGACTGCGTAATTGCATTTTGATATTGGCACAATGTAATATGCAGCTCACAGATACATCAGTTACATATGCTTACGAGGAATCTATGAAATACAAAGTAAGCAAATTGTTGGAATCTGAAGTAATGGTCAATGTATCGCTGTTAACTCATCACAGACTAATACAATGATATATTACATAATGTATAATCCAAAAATATGAAAAATGATAATTTCAATTTTAATTTTGTACTATAATATATTTAGTAATAAAAAGTTTGAAATATTCGTAATAAATTTTATTTATTTCATATTTTCATATCAAGTCAGATGAAAAATATCACAGCTGGTAATTGACTTCGGCATAAATGTAGTTTAGTAACAAATATTGAAATGCAGTACTGCACTGCAGTAAGACAGAAGTAGATTATATACTACTATATTGCGATATTTCATCGGCAGTTGAGCCTTTAAGGATGTAAGAGAAATATCACATTGTATGATTATTTCAAGCATTGGTACAGCTATGTCAATATTGATTAAACACCCAACTTAGAAACAAGAAAGTCAGCAAAGGAACATGGATGCCTGTTTCACTGCATTTGATAAGGATGCAGATGGATATTTATCTCTTACAGAATTTGAGCTTATTTGTCGTGCATTATTTCGTAATGATCGTGGAAAAGTGTACAATCTTGAAGAAAATCAATTGAAGGAAATATATTCTATATTTGATTTAAATGGAGATGGAATGATTGACAAAGAAGAATTTGAGGTAATCTCACATTTATAAATATATTATTTAAATGATTATTAAATCGTAATGATTTTTATTTATCCGAGTAATATAATATATATTTCTTATAAATTTGTAGGTATGCTGGAATCGTTGGATTAAAATATGCACTCGTCCAAAAAGTGCATTTTTAATTGTAGATGTACAAAACGATTTTATAACTGGTTCCTTAAATATCAAACAGTGTGCTGCTCAACATGATGGTTCCGAAGTAATTGAACCAATTAATCGTTTATTAGAAACTGTACAATTTGATGCAGTGTTCTACTCCCTTGATTGGCATCCTGTGGATCATGTATCTTTCATTGATAATTTACATCTTAGGTAATCTTTATCATTTTCTATATACCGAAATCTTTCACATTTATAAGTTTCACATTTATTTATAAAATAAATATTTTATTTTTATACAGAGAAGTTGATTCCAGTAGTGGAATCTCGAAAGAGGCAGCACAAGTTTATGATACAGTTACATTTAGAGGACCTCCCTTATTAAAACAGCGTCTTTGGCCACGTCATTGCATTCAGGACTCTTGGGGTGCAGAACTACATAAAGATTTGAAAGTCGTTGATAACGCAATTAAAATATATAAAGGAACAAATCCAGAAGTTGATTCATATTCAGTCTTTTGGGATAATAAGAAAATGATGGAAACTAGTTTATACTCCCAATTACAAGAGAAAGGAGCGACAGACATATATATTTGTGGATTAGCATACGATGTTTGCGTTGGAGCTACCGCCGTTGATGCGCTTACAAACGGTTATCGAACTATTCTTATTGATGATTGCAGTCGAGGGGTAGATTTGGTTGATATTGAAAAGACTAAAGCTACAGTCATAGCTAGTAACGGCGTAATTGTAAACTCTAGTCAAGTAAAAGCGATGGTTGAAGGACGAGATCGTCGTCCAGAGCTTGGATATAAATTAGCTTTAGAAATTAAACGAAAATTAAATTTTGTAGAAGACGATGATAAATAGTTTTGTTATAAATTAACAACTAGCATATAAAAATGTAAAAATAAAAGTTAATAGAAGCAATTGATTTAGAAAAATAAAGTAGAATACATATATTTTTTGCATCAAATTCAACATCTCCATTTTTTTTAAATTATCCCTTGCAACTCATAGAGCGAGCGAGCCAAAGGCGAGCGAAGCTCTTATACTTGACTTTATAGTTTCTTTGTCCGCGTTTTTCTTTTGCACCACTCAACCAATTCTCGTCAAATTTTGCATGCACATGCGTATGTACATCCAGATGGACAGAGAAAAAAAAAAATAGAAAATCTCGATTTTCTCGAAAACTAGGAACTTTTCCGAAATTCTGAGATATACAAATTGTTCCTTGTGGCCTAAGGAATCGAACGAATCTAATTATAGCCTGCTAGAACCATTATTAAAGAAAATAAAAAAATAGCCCATTTTGTGGACTAAAAAATTGGCGTCCATCTAGCGGTGAAAGTTGGAACTACAAGAATATAAAAATGCGATTTTCTCGAAAATTAGCAAACTTTGAGTACTTCTGAGGCTCAGAAAGTGTTATGTGATCGCATTAGAAGCAAAATAACGCAATAAAAGCTTCCTGAAAGCTTTAATAAAGAAAATAAAAAAAATGGCATTTTATGGAGAAAATTTGTGGCGCCATCTAGCGGCGAAACTGCGAACTAAACTGAAAAAACGTATGTCCGAACACGCGTTAAGGAAAAATATAAAAAGTAATATTTCGCAACTTTGACGACGTAGTATGCTTCTTTAGACATTTTAAAGCAATTTTTGTTGAATAAGTTACTCATGTTTTGCCTATTAAGCCCAGAAAATCAATTTTCATTTGACCCCTTAATGCGTGTTCGGACATACGTTTTTCGGTTTAGTTCGCAGTTTCGCCGCTAGATGGCGCCACAAATTTTCTCCATAAAATGCCATTTTTTTTATTTTCTTTATTAAAGCTTTCAGGAAGCTTTTATTGCGTTATTTTGCTTCTAATGCGATCACATAACACTTTCTGAGCCTCAGAAGTACTCAAAGTTTGCTAATTTTCGAGAAAATCGCATTTTTATATTCTTGTAGTTCCAACTTTCACCGCTAGATGGACGCCAATTTTTTAGTCCATGTTTTGGACTATTTTTCTATTTTCTTTTCTAGCGCTCTGAGGAGGTTCTTGTGGCATTATATAGGTTCTAGAGAAGTCGCAGAACAATTTCTGACCCTCAGAAATACGTAAAATTGCCTAATTTCG